AAAGTTATCTTATTTCTTCATCAATTTTGAAAGATAGTTTTGCAGGGTACATCAATCTGGGTTGGAGGCTGTTTTCCTTTAGGGCTTGAAATACTTCACTCCAAGTTCTTCTTGCCTTGAGGGTTTGCACTGAGAAGTCTAAGCAGCATTTCTTAAAACTTAAGGCAGTCATCCCTCAGAACCTGAGAATGGTTACAGGAGCCTCTACAGATAAAATCTTGGATGCTCAAGTCCCTTATGTAAAATACTGTAGTACTTGCACATGCTCATATATACTTTAAAGTATCTCTATATGTCTTACCTATAATACCTTATACAATGTAAATGCTATGTAAATCACTCACTGCTATACTGTATTCTTAGGGAGAAAAATGACAAAAGTCTATACATATTCAGTACCGTACATTTTCTTCCTGAATATTTTCAATCTGTAGTTGGTTGAATCAGCAGATGCAAGACCCATGGATAAAGAGAACTTCGTTCTATGAATTTTTCAAGAAGAGGAAAATTCTCATAAATTGAACATTATGTTCAATAAGCCCAATTTAAGAAAAAAATCTCAACCAATGAAAACATCTTTTAATTTTGAATCACAGTTGTCAAAAAAACACCTCATTTTAAAAATTGGTTTTAGATTATCATAGAAAATATATAAATTAAAATTTCTCTTACTAGTTTTAGGACTGAAGACATTACAACAGACTCCAGTTTGAAAGCACTAGTATAAATCAGCAAGCTTTAACACAGAATTAAAACCAAAAGCATCTCCCAACATGGGCACAAAATAGCCAGGTGATGGCACTGCCATGGATTTAAAGGTAAGACTAGACCGAAGCTATCCCACTGCTAACAATAATGACATGGCATTCAGAAATAGGCTGAACCCAATTAAAGGTCCTTCAAATCTTATCCCATACCCACTGGTAATTTTTTAATAAAGATCTTTAAAAAGCTCAGAAAGGTATATATACATGGCAATCCTGAATCACTTAGAAGAACAAACCATTTCACTCATCTCTTCTTCTTTTTTTTTTGGTACCAGGGATCGAACTTGAGATCTTGCGCTTGCAAGGCAGGCAGCGGAACCACTGAGCTAAATCCCAGGCCCGATTTCACTCATCTCTTGACTCTAAAGGTATTACAATGAAGCCACTAGATATTTTAATAATATTAGGATATTTGTTTAAAAAAGTGAAGAATGTCTAATTCTGTAAAGAACTTCTTATGAAATGTTAATTTAAAAATTGTGGTAGTTGAAAGGATAAACTTTTGAGGAGCTGTGGTTCTTTCCCTAGCAAGACTATAAGCGAAAAGTAAATATATAAATAAATAGGCAAGTCTGTAAATTTTTCAAGTACATGATACAAATGCACCTGCTTTAGAATGAGGCATCAACGTTCTCAAGTCCTGCATTAAATGTCTTGTTCTGAAATTTATTCCTCTGGAAGAAAAGATGAGAATCCGTTCCTTATTTTTCCACTTGCCCTAAAGAAAAAGAAAAGATTAAAAGATTTTTAAATTTCATAAAATCTCATGAGATTTTTTTAAAGACAGTTTATAAAGCTTCCAGAGCCAGGCACAGTGGTACATGACTACAGCCCCAGCTACTGAGGAGGCTGAGGCAGGTGGATCATTTGGGCTCAGGAGGTAAAACAAGCGGGAAGCATACTGAGATCCTGTCTGGAAACCAAAAAACAGAAACAAAACCTCCAGGATAGCAAATTACAGTCCTGGCCCTTTTAGTTCAATCTCTTACTAACATTCACTAACCACACCTGCCAACCAGAAATGCCCTCTTTGGTTTTCTTCCTTTTTTTTTTTGGTACCAGGGATTGAATTTGGGACCTTGGGCTTGCGACACAGGTGGTGGAACCATGGTTTTCCTCCTTTTCTGCTTTTCATCTTCAATCTTTTCAATTTTTCTTCCTTACCCTAAAGGTTATTTCTTGGCCCTCTTAAGTTTTTAAAAAAATTTTCTGTTCACTCTATTACAGTGATGTCATATTTAATTCCCATGGCTTTAACTGTCAATTACACAGGAAGGTAAGAAAGTAGCACTAATAATCCAAGTATGTGGCTAAAGCCTCAAACTCTAACACTAAACATTATCCTATAACAGTGGGGGCAAACCTATAGCACACATGCCACAGCAGGCTGTTTGTTATCATTGAAAGCTCTAAAAGATTCGCCATGGCATCACTGAAATCTGGTAAATTTCCTTGCTATTTGCTTACGCTGTCACCATCATTTCAATCTCCTACACTTTGATTAGTCCATTTGCCCTTATTTTTTACTATCATAAATACTATTAAATCCCATCAATTTCTCTCTGCAACAATTCTTACTCCCACTATTCTTACTTAGATCCTTAGGACCTCATTATCAATGGCAATCTCCTAAACGACTAGTTTTCCCAAACATGAGCTACTGCAACAGATGATATGGCCAACTAGCACCAGTTGTTATTTTTTAATAAGCACTGTTCTGATCACAACCTTACATTACAGGGTTTTCTAAAGAAAATTCAACATGACATAGCTGTAATATTGGATTTTAAAATACATTTTCACTTTTTACATCTCTGTCCCAATATTAACCTTACCCTTAAGCCAATCTGGCTCTGTTTTTTTAGATCTTTGCATTTCCACACTCACACTTTTGACCAGTTAGTACTTCTTTCCCTTGAACTACTCCCTCTCATTTTTATTTATTTATTTATTTTTTGAGACAGGGTCTCTATGTAGTTCAGGCTGGCCTTGAACTCACAGCAGTCCTCCTGCCTGAGCCCCCAAATGCTGAGATTACAGGGTGCTGGGATTACAGGCTTGTGCCAATATACCTCGTCCCTCCCTCTCGTTTTTACCCATCAAAATTCTACCCTTCCTTTAAGATCTAACTCAAAAGTGTAGTCTCCCATGGTTCCTTAGCTTTTCTCTTGGGACAAAAGTAATTTCTACCTTTTAAAAAAAGTGGCTTCAATATCCTGTGGGGATTTTTGGGGTTCTTAAAAATTTTATTAGATATACATAATGATAACATGCATCACAGGGAATTTGTATCTGTACGTGAGTGACATATCTTGCTTCTTTTTTGGGGACCGGGACAAAAGTAATTTGTATCTCTTGCAATCTACAGAAGGAGTTATAATGTCACTCAGATTATAGATCCCATTCTATTTCTTTCCACCCCCACCCCACACTTAAGAATGAATCCAGTGCCTCTGCACTAAGCTGGATTCCTCAGCCTTTTTTTTTGGAGACAGGCTCTTGCTAAATTGCTGAGTCTGGACATCCTTGGCCTCCCAGAGTTCTGGGATTACAGGAACATCATTGCACTGACTCTTTCCTGCTCCTTAAAGGAGGGCGTTAACATTTATGAAAATCTACTAGCAGTCCAGCTTTTCACGAAAAGTACTTTCATGCCTTAATTTGCAGAGGACCAAAAAGCAAAGGATCTCACTGTTAATAGCAGGGCTACAATTTATATTCACCTTTCAGTTCTGAGTCACTCTTTTCTCAGAGCTTCTCGTCACACTACCCAGGGTTACTTATTATCTACTAAGAGCTAGAATATTATGCTAAGAGGGAGGTTAAATTAATAAATCAAAAGCAATCCTTGTCTCCACAGTTTTCACCTTAAGATGCTTTCACTGGATGAAGGTTAACTTCAACGAGAACCTGTGCTGTTTCTTTTTAATAAAATCTATTAATTTCAAAGAATTTTAGTTTCCTTCCAAACTCCAACATTCCTTAAAAAGAAATTATACTCTAGTCATCTTTGCAGTACCAAGGCCAGAGGAAGTCTATCTTGGTACAGTGCGTGGCACAACTGTAAATTGTTGAACACCGACAAAATTCACCCTACCTAGTATAGTTTTCATTGTCCCATGAGTTAAAGACCTGATCAAATAAATCAAGGTCACAATCCCAAGGACAGTAATTCTTTAAAGGCTCGGATAGCAAGATTCAGCATGAATGACTGCCACTGGCTGACTACAGCGGGATGAGACTACTCACCACTGGAAGTCATAACCAACAGAGAGTAATAACTAAGGCAAAGCATTTCTGTCCAGAAAAAAACCCAAGTAAGGGAAAGCTTCCGAAACCTGCCCGGAAGGTCCCTGTAAGAGGATAAGGGTCTATAGGCCGCCGCCTGCAAGAAGGCGGCCACGTGCGCGAGGATTGGACCTTAACCAATCCAGGCAAGAGAACTGCCGAGACCGCGCTCTAGTAACACCCGGGCGATTTCGAATTAGCGGAGCACTAGTAAGGCAGCCCCGAGAAAGGCGCATAGAATCGCCGCTGCAGGGAATAACCCCTTCTACCTTGCAAACGGGACCTGGGATACGGTCCTTCTCTGCTTCTTCCATCTCCTTTGGCACAGCCGATGACTTAGCTGGAGGCTCGACATCTTTTTTGTTTCTTTTTGGCTTCTTCGCCGAAACTGCCAAGACCCCACTCCGCTTCCTCTTGGTTGCCACCATTTCGCCTCATCACCTTCCCTCTTGACCGTACTTCCGGTTCTGCCACTCTCTCTCCTCTCTCCGTTCTCTATGGTATTTTCGCTCGGCTCCGCTGTCCCTCTTCAGCTCTATGGTGCCTTTTTCCGGTTTCGGGGTCCTGTACGCGTGACTCTCTAGGCCTCCTTCAACTCTGTGGTTGCTGGTGACCGAGGTAGCGGTTGGATCCGAGAAGAGTGCCGGGATCCGCTGCATTTTCCCTGCCGTTTCCCGGGAGGTGCAAGTCATCTGTCCGGGGACCTAGCTGGGAAGGGCTCTCTAGTATCCATACCCCACGACAAGATAGGGTGTCCGCCCCAGGGGCTTCCCTTGAGTAAGCTGCGGTTGCCTCGTGGACGGGCTGGTGAAGGGGTTGTCTGGGACTCTTGAGGCATCGTCTGAGGGCTGAAGGCCGGCGCCCCATCATGTTCTGTTGGTTGATGAGGCGAGGATAATGACCTGGGGGGTACACACAGACTCTGGGCGAACGTAGCCTGTTTGGCATTGCGAAACCTGTCCGAAGTAAAGAAAAACCTACCGTGTCAGTTGCGTATTTTTATAGTTTGCAACTTTTCACGGATCACTGCCCGCCTACCAAAGACCGGGAAACGTATACTTGAAGAGGTAATTGTCCCCAAAGGCAGAGGCTCAGCTGGATCTGGTCCCCGAATTAAACTTCCTGGGCACTTCCACTTCCTGTCGCGCAGGTTCTGATCTCCGGTCCTTGGCAGCACTAACTGGTTTATTGTCACACCTCTCAGGTGTTTCCTGATCTGCAGGAGCAGCGGGAACGAAAGCGCTGTAGACCATGCCCCTCCTGACCCAGCATACCCAAGATGAGAATGATCAGTACTGCTTAGTGGCCAGCCTTGACAACGTTAGGAATTTCTCCACTATTTTGAAAGCTATTCATTTCCAAGAACATGCCACGTGTTTCACTACCAAAAATGGAATCAAGGTTACTGTGGAAAATGCAAAGTGTGTGCAAGCCAATGCTTTTATTCAGGTATGCAAAAAAGGCACCTGTTAGCCTGTGACATGATAATTCTTTACACAGTTTCATGAATTTTGGAAGGGCTTATTAGACAAAATGTAAGAGTACAAAATGTCATTATTTGAGATTTTTCTCCCCTGATGACAGATTCTTTTCCACATCTTGTTTTACGAAGATAATGGTTAATAATGACTAAAGTTTATTTGAGCCAAACTATAGGATAGGAACTCTTCTGAGTGCTCAGCTTTTTTCATTCTCACAACACTAACAAGTAGGTTCTCAGTCCCGTTTTTACATGTTAGAACTGGAGGCACAATTTAAGTACTTTGTCAAAAGTAAATGACCCTAGTCAACTGATAAGCACATAAAGCAGACAAGGGAGCATCAAGTAAGGGATAAGTTTAGGACCAGCAGTGGAGATAAAAGACCCTTCACAAAGTTTTGAATGGGGCCTAAATCACTGTTACACCTTTAACTGTTGAACTGTTGAGAAGAATTGTTCTAATGGGTAATAGTTGAAATAAAAACTAAGATGTTTTCCTTGGTAGCAAGAAAGGTTTTTCAAAGAGTTAGCTCAGTGCTGTTATTTTTGGAACATATAAAGCGAAATATAGAATCCTGTGTTTTCATTCTTTAATATAGCAACTTCATTTTCATTTTTACCTTTTTTCATAGGCTGAAGTATTTCAAGAGTTTCTGGTTCGGGAAGAGTCTGTTATATTTCGAATTAATTTAACTGTCCTTCTAGACTGTTTATCTATTTTTGGATCAAACCCTATGCCAGGTGAACTATTTTATTATCATTAAAGACATGAAAGGAGGAAAGAGCAAGAGAGGGTAGAAGGGAGGGTGGACATGATCAGAGCAAGATACATGGATCTATGGAAATGTCACCGTGAAGCCCCTTAATTTATACAACTAGGTGTTGATAATTATAAAAAATAAAGACACAAAAGCATACAGAATGGTCAAACATACAGGAAGAACATAGGAAGGTATTGAGAATACAAACACAGGAAGGTGTTTGTAGAATATAAACATTTCTTTGGAAAATTCTAACTTTTTTTTTTCGAACTCATTTTTCAATGGTCACAATCATGGATTATGACTGTTTGCAATCAAGTGAATGCATGTTTATAGTTCTTTTCATAATTGTGAAAGTATTTACATTTAACTTACAAGGTTTAGGAGATTTTAAATTTGAGCAAAGAAAAAGAGTTTGAACATAGAAATATTTTCAATTTCATCTTTTCTCTGCCTTGTTAAGAATTGGATAGCTACTTGGTGGCAGGGAAAAATAGAAATGAGTTCTCCTGACTCCTGGTTTACTGTGTTCCAAATTTTTTTAACCCTGTTTATTATGTCTAGTTCCTCAAGTCTTTTCCATATATATCTATATATTTTTTGGTTTTTTTCATTGCTTGGGGAATTATTTTTAGAAATGATGAAATTCAGTTGATATGGGTATAAAACTACAAGGAATCCCCAGAAAAATGACTGTTATTTCATAGAAAAGCAACTTGGATATTACTTAAGAAAAATTCAGTTACAGTTCTCTAGAAAATGTATTTTAATTTTGCACTGACAGTTCCACTATTATATATTTTCTAATACAGTGCTTTCCTGCTGTTTTTTTCTAAAAGCTTCCGCCTTACCCCATTCCTCACTCTAGCTCTATCCAGTAAGAAAGAGGAGCTATGATATTTTGTTATATTCCTTCTTGTCATTTGTGGTTTGAAGTGTTAAAATTCACACTGGCATTATACACCCTTTCTTTTGTTCGCAATATGATCTTAAAATCTGAGAAAATTTGAAGACTGTGTCCTGATAGGAGAGGTTGGAAGGATCCTTATCACAGATATGCTGGAAATATAGTACAGTATGAAAGCAGTTCACTTGTTGCACAAACTGAGCCTTCAAGAAACAGCATATTTGGCAGCCATTCTGTTGCTGGCCTTTTTTACAGTCTCCATCCTGAAATTTTGGAGAGAGAGAGAGAGAGAAAGAGAGAGAGGAGAGACAAAAAAGGTATATACACTTTAGCAGCTTGCCATGCTAATAAATGTCTGCAAGCTAATGCCCACCACTTTGAGCACCTCTTATAATTGTAGAGGCCAAAGTTAACTTGTATTAATCTCATGATATCTCAATAAATTTTGTATTAAAATATTTATACAAGTTTTTCTGATGTATATATATTTTCTGGCGGACTCTAAATAAAATGAGATCAGTAAACAATTGCTGAGACATTTTTGGTAAGCTGAAAATTATTAGTTACATTTTGTTCCAATTTCCACTTTTCCTGCAGTTAGTCTAGAAACTTCTTTTAAGAAATGTGGCAGAATAAATTATTTTTGACAGATTTTATGTGTTATTAGGAGAAGCTGAACCGAGAACCTTAAAGCTGAGTCCAGTATGATTTCTTTCCATTGCAGGGACTTTAACTGCACTTCGGATGTGTTACCAAGGATACGGTCACCCTTTGATGCTATTTCTGGAAGAAGGAGGAGTGGTGACCATCTGCAAAATCAATACTCAGGAGCCTCAGGAAACTTTGGATTTTGATTTCTGCACCACCAATGTTATCAGTAAAATTATTCTGCAGTCCGAGGGGCTCCGTGAAGCATTTTCTGAACTGGATATGACAAGTGAGGTCCTACAGATCACTATATCTCCTGACAAGCCATATTTCAGGTACTTGAAAGCATACATTTGTTTAGTTTGTGGAATTCTTATCCAAGTTCCTAGAATTATTCAGAAGTTCGAGAATTTTTATTCTTTTTCTTTTTTTTGGTACTGGGGATCAAACTCGGGTCCTTGCGCTTGCACAGCAGGTGGTGAAACCACTGAGCTAAATACCTGGCCCAGAATTTTTATTCTTTATTCATAATTTTACAGATCAAGAGCCTTAAAACCCAGAGGAGTAACTGTTTAGGATTTTATAGTTAGGCAGTGTCAGTTGGTAGTTGAGAAACCTAGTTTTCTAGTTCATAAACTAGTGGCCTTTTCATTGTTGAAAACTTGCTGTTTTAGATCAGGTTATACCATGAGAAATATTGGGTTTAAATGTTTAGAAAAGGTGTTTGTATTATGTGGTATCTTTATCTCTTTGCTTTTGAGTTCAGAATATAAAAATATGTAAATACTTCTTGATACATAGTTTATTTACATAGTATCTACTAATTACCTACAGGGTGCATATTCGTTTTAAGATTTAGGAGGAATAGCTTAAAATTAAACTACGTGATAAGAATATGTGAAACAGCAGAGAAGGAACAAAATTACAAACCACTAATTGCTAAAATAATATTCATAGATACTTGTGGGTACAGTACTTGAGTATTCAGGGAGGCATGGTCAAGGAAAGCTTCCTAAGAGAGGGTAATTTTCTGCAAGAACACAATGTCAAAACTATCAAGCTAGCTAGGTGTAGTGGCAACAAAGACCTGAAATCCCAGCTACATAGGAGGCTGAGGCAGGAGGATCACATGCTCAAAAGCCAGCCTGAGCAACTTAGCAAGACCATGCCTCAAAATAAAATTTTAAAAATGATTGGGCCTGGGGTTGGGGATTTAGCTCAGTGATTTCACTGCCTGCTGCATAAGCGCAAAGACCCGAGTTTGATCCCCAGTACCAAAAAAAAAAATAGTTGGGCAACCCACTTTCTGGTCCCCTTCTGTCTCTTTTAGGCAGAAGTTATGTTTCTCTCAATAAGTTTTTCCTGTTCTAAAAAGAAAAAAAAAACTGGTTGAAGATACAGTTCAGTGGTAGATTGTATATGTGAGGCCTTGGGTTCATGCCCAGTGCCCTCCCCCTCCCCCCAAAAAACCCTATCAACTATTACTGATATTTTGTACTAATAAATTATAAAATGGCAAGTCTTTTTTCAGGATTAGAATCAATTTAGAGAATTTAACAATCTAGGAAGAGGATCTAAGTATTTTTTTCTCTTTTGAAATATTTCAGAATTAAAGCATAAAGGAGATAAATACATACAGAATAAGAAGTATAGGGTGTTCCTTTTGTATTCCACTTTAGAAGAACTGCAGGCTTGTCTTATAGTATTAGGCAAATAAAACATTGGCTTGAGGTGTGATAAAATATTAAACAAAATGGAAATCAGTGAAACCCCACTTACAGGTATTTCAGAGGATCCCCTTTAAGTGAGCTCTCTTTGCATGAATAACTAGGTATATTATGGTATCTTTTATCTCCAAGATGGGAAACAGTTTTGTGATAGAAAAGTGGGAGTTAAAATTTCTTTCCAGATGTGTTAAATTTGAGGTTCTTTTGACAACAGGGAGTAGTTAAATGTGAGGGTGTACCACTCAGGAGATCAGTCTAGACTTCAAATTTAGATTTGAGAGCCGCCGTCATGGCCGGGTGTGATGCCTGAGCAGAAGATACTCAGAAAGAGGTTATACTGGAAGACGAGAGAAAAGATGGACTCTAGGAACAGTAGTAACACCTGGGAGGTGGAGCTTGGGGCAAACCAATACCAAGGTCTGATCCCAGTGCTCATATTGTACTTATTAGCATGCTGACCCCATAGCAAATGCTTAATAAATTCCTCAGATCGCATATAAACATTTCAAATTATCTGTACACAATTGCTGATACTGCTAAGTGTGGAAAACCCTAAAATTGCTTAAGAGCTGTCTAAGGTACAAAAAAGCCTATGTGCTTGGTATGGCAATAAGGATTGGGAACAGGACCCAAGTAGGCTTAGATCAGTCTTCCATCTTGCCCCAGTTCTCTTTGTTAGTTACATATTTCTAAATTTAAGGACATGGAAAATTCATTATTAATATGATATATAGATTGATGGGACTAATTTTCTTCCAGTTAGTTGCTAATTTGCTAGTTGCCCTGTACACCCACAAAATCCTGTGGGAGTCTTTATTATAGTGTTTGTTAAAGAACCTGTAAACCTTTTTTTATTTGTTTGTTTGTTTTCTGAGACTGGATCTCGCTATGTAGTTTAGGCTGACTTGAACTCACTATGTCGCCCAGCCTGGCCTTGAACTCGCAGTGATCCTCCTGCCTCAGGTCCCAAGGGCTGGGATTCACAGGCCTGTGCCACTACTCTCAGCTCAACATTTATATGTCTGAGTCACCCACCAGAATAAGCTCCTGAAGGAAATGTTTTATTTATTTGGATCCTAGTGTTGTTTATTGTTGGACCAGTGAATAAATGAGTTGCTCATTTTCTACTACAGGTTATCTACTTTTGGAAATGCAGGAAGCTCGCACCTTGACTATCCCAAAGATTGTGATTTGATGGAAGCATTTCACTGTAATCAGACCCAGGTCAACAGGTCAGGTCAATCTGTTAACAAAAATATATAACATTTAAAATGAGTGGTAGGATGCTTGATTTAGTTGGAGATTTGGGGTTGTAGTAGTGGATGAATAAAAAAGCAAGAGAATGTATTAGAAATTAGATAAATACTTCATTTTATTCTCATATTTGCTATTTAGTAGTTCTTGGCTAACTTTTGTTCTTTACTTGGAGTTATAAGCACTGTGTTATATATCCAAATAACAAACAGCTTTTTATTTACTCTTCTACAGGTACAAGATTTCCTTACTGAAACCCTCTACAAAGGCATTAGTTTTATCATGTAAGGTATCTATCAGGACAGATACCCGAGGATTCCTCTCATTACAGTATATGATTAGAAATGAAGATGGACGAGTATGTTTTGTGGACTATTACTGTTCCCCAGATGAAGACATTCCAGAACCTGAGTCCTGAGGATGAGAATTCACTGTGATATTTATGTACATTGATAATAGGTTGTATTCTCATTCTCAAAACAGTACTCTTCATGATTTCCTTTTGTATTTTCTATAGGGAAGGAGGACAGAGAAGATAGGAGCAAGGTCTCCATAGGCTAACAATTGCTATGTATTTTATAAATAAATATTTTCTTGTAGTCATAGATTATCCAGCTTAATGGACTATCGTGTGGTTCTTTCTTTTGCACTCATGACAATCATTGTGAGTCAAGATAGATGAATTATATGTTCTATTTAAGTAGAACAGTTTAAGGATCTAAAGGTTTGAAGTTTAATGATGCCACATCTGAAATGATCTGTTATTTATTTACTGTTAGAAAAAGCAAAGGCATATGGAAATGGCCTGTTAATTTGAATCCTGGAGACTAGATGTTAAAACAGACTGGTTCACAAAGTGTCCTACCCAGACCACTATCAGAATCATCTGGAAATATGTCAGAAACTTGGGGGGTGGCGTCAGCAGTCTAAGCTTTCTCAAGGAAATTCTGATGTGTGCCAGAGTTTGGGAACTATTTTAATATTATTTAATTGCATTGAGGTGTTTATTTTCTTTTGTTGTTTTTGGTAGTATGGCATATTGAACCCAGGGCCCCACTGAGCTATATCCTCATCACTTTTTGAGACAGGATCTTGCTAAGTTACCCAGGCTGGCCCTTAACTTGGGATCCTCCTCCCTCAACCTCCCAACTAGCTGACGTTAGAGGTATATACTACCACACTCAGCTCAGAGGTGGTTGGTTTTACATATGTTTTCTTCACAAACGTTCTGAAGTTAAAGCATCACCAAACCAATCTTGATAATTCTTTATGTGATTTATTTTAAAATACACTTTTTGAAGAAGTCTATGATAGGTTATAAGCAATCTTCAGAGTTACAGATTTTCTTTTCAGAACTATTCGATGCGGTAATTTCTTTCCATTTACCTATAACAGCTTCTTGACCAAACCAACATATAGAAAACCAGTTATTACATGATTTTGTACTCTCCTGGGTTTTCACTGAAATATTTTTGTGCAATATAAATATTCTTTGTATCTGGCAAAATATGCTGAAATTATCTGACATGTTCTGTAGCAGAAAAAATACATGACAAATGAAGTTTTTATCTTTGTTACTATACCAGGTGACAACAGCTTAATGTCTCTTTCAAGGACTAGCACTGTTGGCCTTTTGGGTGTGACAGCGCTTCACGGGAAAAGACTATGATCATATTGTAGGATTCATTTACCTCCCATGCCTTTACCCATTAATGTCAGTCACTGTGACCATTTCTTTCCCCAAATAAAAGTCCAAACTGTGAACCACTTGAGAACCATTCAGTGATACTCACCAACATTTGGTGGTACTTTGGGAATGCCCTACCTCAAAACAGGCGCCCGTCCTTACAGGAAGTTCATTTGGAGAGTATTGCAGCAGGTAGCTCTCCTTGAGGAATGGCTTCTCCAGAGCTGCTACAGGGCTTGTTTCCCAGATACGTGCACGGCTCTGTTGTAGCCCAAGGACAGTCTCAGGATGCCCAGCTGATTACAAGAAGTTAAAATTTTATAAAGTGTAGTATGTATTCATGAAGGAAATGGATGAAGCTACTACATGTTGTCAAAGTATTTTTTGTTTAGATAAATAGCACCAACAACATCTGAAATATAATTATAAAAACAGTATTTCAAGGATTATAATTTTTCTTTATATTTAAAATAGGGTAGTATTATGGCACTTTTAGAATTTGTGTAACAGCTTTTACAAGAAACCTATCTCGCCCAAAAGTAAATAAATTTAAAATAAGATAGTTAATTATTGTTTTTTGTTTACTAGCATGTCTTGTGCCTAAAACAGTACCTATAATAGGAATTCAATAAATATTTGTGAGATGAAAGAATCTCTACTTTCAGATTGCCTTTTAATATACTATTAGTCATTTAATTCTGATTATTTAGCTCTAAATTTATTTTAATCTAACATTTTTGTTGAATAATTAAATAGATTTAATAAGGATGAGCATTTAAAACATTTTAGCTGCATGAGTGTTCAGCTATTTAGAGTCAAGAAACGAATGACTGTCTCAAAAAACCAAAAAAAAATTGAAAAAGCTGAGCATGGTAGCGCATTCCTGTAATCTCAGCACTCGGGAGGCTGAGGCAGGAGGATCACCGGAGCTCGAGGCCAGCCTGGGCTATATAGTGAGTTCAAGACCAGCCAAATTATGTAGTGAGACCCAGTCTCAAAAAAAAAAGAAACCAAAAAAAAATTTTTTTTTTTAAAAACTAATGGATTTTTTTCTAAATCACCCTAACCTCAAGGTGTTGATTTAATAAAGAATTTCCTATTTATGTGTGTTCTCTTTGACCTAGGAATTTTTCTGGAGTTTTAACTTTGTTTTAGATCCAGTGAAAGACCATTAGAGGGAGTGCTTCCTTAGGCAGAGCTGGTGTTTTGGTACCACTAGTTTGTTTTCATGTTTAGCATACGGAGAATACAAACTTCTTTATAAGAGTTTTAGTTGTCCCTTTTTGGAGCTTATCTCACTTTATTTTCAGTAAAATCATGGTTATTGTAATGAACAGGCAGTCTTTTCTTTTTTAATTTGTTTAATCATGTGTTTTCCATTAGAATTGATGCAAGGCCTCAGAACTATAAGAATAAATAATGTATTAAATTCTTTTCTAATAAAAATAAGGCTGCTAACACAGTGATTTTTATAATAAGCCACAGAACGTTATCAAAGAGTCCTAGTAAAAATAAGTTACAGTTTCTGAAAGGGTAGCATGTGGCATTCTCAACAGTTTGGAGTAGAAATCTTTCTAAACAAGATAGACTCCCTTATTCCCTTCCCTGACTTCATGTTGCCTATCCCTTATCATCTGAAATAAAATTTGTCAGATCCTGAGCAGTTGGAGCAGTTACATGATATCCTTTCTTCATTGTTTGTACTTTGCTTTCATCCTCTTCAGAATAGGCAGTATTGCTTTTATACATGTGTCAGGTTATATCCACCCCAGTGGCAGGCAATAATTACAGTACAGGATTTCCCACTGTGGGATGTGGACAGCCAGTGTTCCAATCAGAATGCTACAGGCAATTTAAGTGCTTCTGATACGCATCTCTCAGTCACAGCCAGAGGACTTGATAAATATTTTCTTTTTGAAATTAATAATTTGTTAAACAATATAATACATAGTAGTAGCTGCTCTCATTAGTAAAGCTAGAGATATTCAGGAAATGTGAACTCAGTTCAAAGTAGCTCCTTTTCCTTGCATGAAAAGGAAACAGTTTTATAAGGCCTGTGGCCTTTGACCCTCAGGCATGAAGTCTGATTCCTATGTCATGCTTCTTGGCATTTTGTCTTAGAATTTCTAGTTGTTGTGATAAGGAGAAGTTTTAGATAACTTAGTAGATTGAATATTAAGATAGTTGTAGAAGCAAAAATAAGATTTGCTCGTCCTGTAACTCTCATTGCTTAAGGTAATCTGACTCTTTAACTAGTAACTTCATTAACCTAACAGAGTTGCAATGGGTGGCTGAATTTACAATGTATATGTGCCTATCTTGTGTCTGTGACTTGTAAATAGGAACTGGAATTGTATTTACACATCAAAGACCACTAGGGATGAGATAATGGCTAAAAAGGATATAAAAAGGTCCCACCCACTTGCAAGTAGAACTTTTATTATTTTATCCGAATTCTGTGTCTCCATGTATTTCTTTCTGAGATTTCTGAAATATTTGGTTCCCTGACCGGGAATCGGGAATGAAATATCCCTTTTGAGCATTAGCCTGAATCCCACTGGAGGGAGTGGCTCTCCATCTCCTCAAGAGGAAAGGCACACCCCTGGGACTAATTTCCTAGGCTCCCCAACAGGACACACTTCCTGGCTGAGATCACCCGAACCCAGGACGACAGAAGGAGGGCTGCTGCTGTTGGTGTCTCATCTGTCTCTTTCCTTTGCTGGGTGAGAAACCCCCTACTAATTAACTTTTGGTTTCACTTTGTGTATTGTATTTTGTAACTTTGGGCAAATACAGCGCAGGGGCCTGATCACCCCTTATCCTTTGCCATTTGGGAAGATAGCTCCTCCCATTTGTTTTGGTTCACTTTGTGAACTTTGGGCAAAAATAGTGCAGGGGCCCGATCACCCCTTGTGCTTTGCCATTTGGGGAGGTAGCTTCTTTCATTTGTTTTGGTTACAGTTAGGGGGGTCACCAGGAGGGAATGTGATAACTTCTGAATAAATGTGTGAGTGAAAGAGTTCTGGATAGGAGAGTGTGTGGAATGAGCTGCAGAACAAGACAGAGGGAGGAGGTGCTTGTGCTTAGAGTCCTCCCTGAGTCGTGGAACTTGTGTGTGGTCTGTCTTTTGGTTCTGTGGTTGTGTTTAACAAAAACACAACAGTGAGCTTATGCAACAGCCCACCTTAGCCTGAATGGACCTTAAGGTGCCCAAGAGGCCCACAGCCAGGCAGGTGAGGGATTCCCCACCTTTGTTTTGCATCTCCATACAAGGGTACCCATACACACACCAACACTCTAATTGGCCAATCGTGGAAAAGGAACATCTCGTCCTACTGTTTTGGAATGCATGCTTAGGAATTTTAAGAAAAGTTTTACTGGAAATTATGGTATTAAGATGAAACCCCAAAACTTAGAGCCTTTCGTGAGTTAAAATGGCCCAAGCTTTGCCTAGCTTGGCCAACAGAGATATCTCTAGATGAGGGTCTCATCTGGTTCATCTGGCTAACAGTCACCGCCCCTGGGCGGGAACATCCAGATCAATTTCCCTATATTGATTTATGGCTCAAATTGTGCCACAGAATGCCTCCTTGGCTTCATATATGTGGTCCAGAAGCAAAAAGCAATATCCTGATCCTCCGTCAGAAAGGGGACAATGCTGAAAAGAAACTGATCCTTTTAGATCCGGACCAAGAGAATTTAGACTTTCCCCCTGCTTTTGAGTGGCTAAATTCACAGGGTCAAAGGAGGTGGGGACAAAAGCATGAGAACTACTTGGCTCTAGAGCACCAGAAGGTGCATGCTGTGGTCAGACTCAGAGAGGATAGAATAGGTCTTATACTCAAATTGGAAAAAAACTGAAAAGAGAAAATGAGTAATGGATTGAAAACAGCTAAGAAAGCTCTGAAGGGCATAAAATAAAGCCAGAGAAAGTAAGAAATTTTACAAGAGAAATCAAGTTACAAATTTTAGCTAATTGATAAATTTATCTGTGTTTCAGTTTGAGTTGATGTTTAATTGGTGTGCTTAAAATATTTCTTGTACCTTGCAAATTCTTTGTAATTATACAGTTAAATTGCTCTTTTCTGTACTTTGTTGATAAAAAAAACTCAAGGTTACTACCCTTCTGTTGGCAGCCAACCAAATTTAAAGTGCAACAATCTGAGAAGAGAAAAGGACACTTAAAAATTTTAACAGCTAAAGACAAGTTTATGATAAAAGGTCTATAGTGAAATAAAAAAATATTAAAAAGCTATAAGTAAAAGATACAATTTTGATATAAAAATTTTGTATGTTTGTCTTGTTAGAAAGCTAAAAAGATATACAAGACCAGAAGGCCTAGGTATGTCAAAAGATGTGAGAAAATGATTTATCA